CTAGTGACAGCAGAAAATTCAGAACAAGAAAAAGCCCACAGGGTCAGATCTTTACTACTATATTGTAGGGATGGTCCTATGCTGGGCTGGTATAAATAAAATATGCTGCTATTGTTGCTGCTGCTTGCTGCTGAGTATGTCTCTGGAGAAAACTATCTAGGTGCCTTTTAGAACAAAGAATTAGACATGGTCTCCAGTGAGTGGATTTTCTAGGCCTATGGCTGGTGGTAACTTCAAAGTGAGGTCTGTGCACAGAGGGAGGCATTGAGAATATTGGAGACTAAAGTGTTATATGACCTCAGATGTTTCCCTTGCTTGCTTGCTTTCTCTTTTAAGTCTGATAAATAGTTTCTGGAAAGCCAGTTCCATTAAGGAAGTTCAAGAACCAATGAGCTTTTCTCTCACTAAAGCACTATTTTTCAATGTTATTTGCAGCCCTTTGTTTCACTAGAGTAAAATAAGTCCAGGGTGAGAAGATGCCAGGATGGGAGATAGGAGAGAGCCCACCAAGTAAGCCTGCTGGTCTTGTCCTTCCTTGTCTAGGTGTCTCTGTGCTATCATCATGTAAACCTGGAGATATTTCCATACTGTCATAAATGCCAGTGCCAGAAATCAAATATACTTTCTTTTAGATGTAATTGTCTTCTAGTTTGCTGGTAGGCTTCATTTAAAGAGTCTTTGGATGTGTCACCATTTGGGGCTATGAAAATTCATATCTAATTATTTTGAAATTTGGTACCCTTTTATACAAAAGATATTAAAACAACAACAATGAAAACATTGTCCTATTCTATGTACAATAAAAATATCCTTCAGTAATTTGATTTGCAGGAAATGAAAAGTATTATCAACAGAATATGCTTTTCAAAAATTTATAATCCTTTAAACGGGCAAATCCTTTCCCTGGGATTAGTAGCATGGTTTGTGTCCTAGGAGCCAAATCCTATTCTCTGATTCAATCCTCAAATCCTTTCTAACAGTGCCTATATTGATTTCAGACCCAGTTTTGCTTAAGAATCTGAGGACAGTATTTGGTGCTGTGTTTAGAGGTCCTTAAATAAGGGTTTTTTTTTTTTTTTTTTTGAATAAGGATTTTTTAAAACGGAGTTTATCTAAAACAGCCTCTAGTTCCCAAAGTTAAATTCTTATGTCTCAATGAGCGTAACAGATGTGGTTAATTTCCAGGCTGTCCTTTATTTTCCCCATACCTAGCTGAGTTCATACTTCTCTGATCTGGAGGACCAACCTAGAAAGTTAGTGCTTAACTCCAAAGGTTTTTGGTGATTCCAGGTGTTTCTTTAATACCAAATATTGACCCTGAATGTGCATATAGTTTTTCTCCCTGTCATATTTTTAATGTTCTTGGAACTTGGTCTTTTTGAATACAATGTACATGTAAATGTTTATTATACATATTTATATTCACAGAGGTCAGATGCTCTGTTACAAGGAGGGTAGCTGGTGTTCTGCTCATCTACAGGAGATGAAAATAAATGCTGATAATGATGATATGTAGATAATGAAGACAGTAAAAATTCTAAGTTTTTAAATCACTAAACAGTGTTTACATTATGAGGAGGGCAGTTTTAGTAAATGTGTTATATTATTACATGCTAATTATTCAGAAAATTATTATCCACATGTGGTATATATAATAGCTCTCTGTAAAGCAGACTATTTGTTTTATCAGGACACAGTATTCTCTACCTACAGTAGATAACAGAATTTGTTGTACTGTCTCACAAAATCTTGTCTGAGAAAAAGAACTAGTATATACAAAAGTGCTTTGAAATAGGCTACATTAATTCAAGAAACCAAGAGCAGAGAGTAGTAAGAGGATCACCAAAACATGACTATATCATGAATACCTACATAGAAGAGGAGTTTACAAAGAAACTTGGGGCAGCCTGGTGGCTCAGTGGTTTAGCACCGCTTTCGGCCTGGGGCGTGATCCTGGGGACCCGAGATCGAGCCCCACGTCGGGCTCCCTGCATGGAGCCTGCTTCCTGCTTCTCCCTCTGCTTGTGTCCCTGCTTCTCTCTCTTCATGTCTCCCATGAATACATAAATAAAATCTTAAAAAAAAAAGAAACTTGGCAGATTACAGTAAAGTCAACTATGCAATTTGTATAATAAAACATTTTTGAATGTATACTGTGAGCCAAGTACTGAGCAAAACTATTTATAGGGATTGTGTTTGATTCTCAGAACAACCTATAAAGTAGGCATTGTTATTGTTATCATTTTCCATAGAAGGAAAATATAGCTAGTTAACATGGAAAAACTTGTCTAAGATCACACAACTAAGTGACACAGCCTGGATTTGAACTCATTTGTGCCAAACTCCAATCCCCATGATCCTAACCCCACCTTCTGTGCCTCCTTTTCTTCTCCCCAGTACTTTATCTCAGCAATGTGCTCTGCACAATTGTACCTGTCTACTAGACCATCTCTTAATGCACAAATCCAATGATGACTCCTTGACCTTAGGCTTTCTTGAGTTCTATGTTAATTGCCCTGAAATGTAATAGAGATCATTCATGTGCATGATGGTACATTTGCAAAGTAATTGTAATAATAGAGAAACTGCTTCGGACATTATGTTTGTTATTAAAGTAGAAAGCCGTGGTCAGGGTTAGGAGCTCATGTGTTGTGACCTTGGATAAGTTATTTTGCACAGCTATGTCTCATTTTCCTCAGTTGTAAAGTGTCAGTGATAATAATACTTGCCACTTTAGGTTGCTGAGAAAATTTAGTAGGACAATGCCTATGAAACTGTTAGTATTATGCTTGGCTCATAACTAGCATTTAATAATCATTAGTATATTACATAACATAATCATTAGAGTTATTATGTATAAATATACTGTGTAAATTCTTTCTACCTGAAATTCCCTTTCTTCTTGATCTCCATAACATGGTCATGTTTTGTTTTTTTACCTCTCTCATGGTTCTCTCTTCTTTGCTTGCTTCCCTTCTTCCTGCCCCTTTGCACATTTTTTTAGGCTTGATTCTTGGCCCTCCTCTCTTCGCCACCTCCAGGATCTTATAATCTTTGAACACTCTTCTGATTAATAATGCCCTTTCTACCTCATGCCCACAAAGCCATTCTGTCTTCACTAGACCCTCCAATTCCAAAACGTGTACTTGTTTCCCACTTCTGTCTTACTCCATTATTTCCAGCCTGGGGCAACCAGGCAAGATCGTTCCATGTGAAAATCTGTCCACTATGGACTTGATTCTCCCAAGCCTGTGATCTCCACATGCCCTCTCACCATTCTGTAAAATGGGTCATTACTGGAGGTAGTGCTTGGATTCCCCACAGATCCCTGCTATGGCATCTCAGTTGGGTGTTCAGGCTTAATTGGATAACTATCTATTTATGTCCAGTTGATGCCATATAATATTCCTCATAGTAGTAGTTCTAAAGTTTTCCATTTTTCTTATGTCCTCAGAGAGATTGCTATATCCTCTCTCCATCTATTTCTTTATCAGGGAAACCAAGGACATTTGACCTGAACTTCCTCACATTCACTTTTCCACCTAACAGTTGTCTGTCAATATTCTTCATCTCATTGCCCTTCAGCCTCCACTGGAAACTTCTTCATCAGTTATACTCTATTTTCTTTACATTTTCAAGCCTCCTTCTCTGGTGATTCTTTTTTAATCATGTGGCTTTCCCATATGATAAGGCTTTTTTTTTTTTAACTCTGCTAACATCTCCAGGTGTCATACTCCATATTTTCTACTTTTATCTTTGGTTTACACTCTCCTTAACTTCTGGTAATCTGACTTACCTGAAATTTCTACTAAAACTGAAGGCCACCTGGGTCTCCTAATCCGTTGAACCATTGTCCCTTTCTTAGCCTGTGTCTTTCTTAACTTTCCTGAAATACATGACACTGTCATATGTCCTTTTTCTAGACTTCTTTTTTTTCCCATTAGCATTGATGGCACTGCATGGTTCCATCTTCTGAACTGGTTCCTCTTCTATTCAATCTAATTTAATTCAATCAACATGTATTCACCATTCACTTATTTCAACTGAGGCTGATGAAGAAGTAAAATATTTTTGGATAATCTGGCTATTAGCAGCATTACCACCAAATAATTAAGCTTTCCTTTCTCTAAAACAAATTATAGGCATAACAAATTATGTCCTCTTCAGCTCCTGGACTTGAAAATTTGGTTGATGCTAATGATGTAATTTATTTGAAATAATCTCAAAAAGGATGCTTTATTTACTATCCATGTTTATACCTGGTACATCTCATTTTAACTCAGCAAGTACTACATCATGTGTGTTATCTACTAGGTGCTATTTCCAATGCTTTACAAATACTAACTCACTGAACACTCAAGACATGTGAGTTATATTGTCTACAGACAATGAATGGAGTGTGCCCTTAATAAAACACAAATTGTTTATTTTTGTTTTACTGATCAAATCTGTTTGTAGTTGGATAATCTTTACTACAAAGTATTGTATTTATCTTCTACTTAATGGAAAGCTTCATTCTTGTATATATTCTTTAAACAAAATTCAAAAAGCAAAAAAAAAGTGCGTTTATGATTAATCCCATTATATAAAAGAGAAATTGAGGAATATTTAAATACCTAACCCAAAGTCATATAGCCAGCAAGTGACTCAGCTGGGATTTAAACCCATGTAGTATGGTTCTAGATTTGGTGCTGCAAAGGTACTTAATAAATGATGATTGAATGAAAAAAATACTTGAAGAACAAATTTTCAAAAGCTAATTTAAGATTTTTCATTTTCATTTAAATTTTTTATTTCTGGTATTTTGCATGTTCTTACTGCTTCCTCTCATCATTTGAGGAAAAAAAATTGTCTTTAAAATTTAGATATAGAAATATGCCATTGGGACAAGGTAATCTGGTCTCCAGATAACAAGAACTCGAATATCCTGGATTTCTATTTTCATTTTCATTGTGTAATGATGGGGAATCTTTGGAAAAGATATGCTGAAGAATTATTACCTTCTCCAGGTTCCTCTGTATCTGCTACCTCTTTGGTAGGCTTCCTTGTAGTTGACCCCTTGGTGGTGGTAGGTCCTGCTGTGTTGACACTGCTATCTATAAAGGATTAATACTTTGTCAAGAGGCTTTTTAAGGGGGCAGCCCAGGTGGCTCAGCAGTTTAGTATTGCTTTCAGCCCAGGGCATGATTCTGGAGACCCAGGATCAAGTCCCACGTTGGGCTCCCTGCATGGAGCCTGCTTCTCCCTCTATCTGTGTCTCTGTCTCTGTCTCTCTCTCTCCCTCTTTCTGGGCCTCATGAATAAATAAAATCTTAAAAATAAAAAGAGGCTTTTTAAAAACATACATTAGTGGAGGAGGAATCCAAGATGACAGAGGAGTAAGAGACCTTAGTTTTATCTGGTACCAGGAATTCAGCTAGATAGCTATCAGATCATTCCAAATCACTCCAAATGAACTCAACTAGAGATCTATGAAAAGAATAGCTGCAACTCTACAGATAGAAAAGCAATCACTTTCTGCAAGGTAGGAGATGTGGAGAAGTGAATTCCAGGTAATATATAGGAAGAGAGGCCGCGGTGGAGAGGGAGCCTCCAGCAGCCAGCACTGGAAAGTGATATAGCAAGGGAATGATGCAAAATCAGAACTTTTAGAAGTCTGCTTCAGTGAGAGATGTCCCAGCTTGAAAGGCATTCATGTGGCGAAGTGGGGGTGCAGAATCCTAGGTGGGACAGTGTGGTCTCAGAATCCTCAAGATCACAGGAAGGCCAGGGGTGCTGATTATATTCTCTTTTTATTTTTAATTTTTTGGTCTCTTCCTGTTTGTTTAGTATATATTTCTCTGGGGTTGTTGTTGCCATTTTAGTATTTTGTTCTCTCGTTCATCTATTATTCTTGGATGACAAGACAGAAGAACTTGCCTCAAAAAAAGAGAACAAGAACACTGCCAAAGACCTAATCAGTATGTACATAAGTAAGATGTTGGAACTAGAGTTCAGAATAGCAATTATAACGATATATTAGCTGAACTTGAAAAAGCATAAAAGACCCTAGAGAATCCCTTTCTGGAGAAATAAGAGAACTAAAATCTCTTATTCAAGTCAAAGTCCAAAAGGCTATTAATGAGATACAATAAAAAGTAGAGGCTCTAATTGCTAGGCTAAATGAGGCAGAAGAGAGAATTAGTGATATAGAAGACAAAATGATGGAGAATAAAGAAGCTGAGAAAAAAAGAGATAAACAATTACTGGATCACGAGGGGAGAATTCAAGACAAAAGTGATACCATAATGCAAAACAATATTAGAATAATGGGGATCCAAGAAGAAGAGGAAAGAGGAGTGGGGCAGAAGGTATGTTAGACTAAATTATAGTGGAAGATTTCTTTAATCAGGGGAAAGAAACAGGCACCCAAGTCTAGGAGGCACAGAGAACCCCCCTCAAAATCAATAGAGTATAGGTCAATATCCCACCATATGATATTGAAACTTGCAAATCTCAGAGACAAAGAGGAAATCTTGAAAGTAGCTCTGGACAAGAGGTCCATAACCTACAAGGGTAGAGACATTAGACTGGCAGCAGACTTATCCACAGAGACCTGGGAGGCAAGAAAAGACTGGAATGATGTATTCAGAGTGCTAAATGAGAAAAATATGCAGCCAAGAATACTTTATCCAGCTACAATGTCATTCAAAAGAGAAGGAGAGACCAAAAGCTTCCAGGACAAACAGAAACTAAAGGAATTTGTGATCACCAAACCAGCTCTGCAAGAAATATTAAAAGAATCCCTTTAAGTGAAGAGAGAGCCCAAAAGTAATAGGCCAGAAAGGAACAGAGACAACATACAGAAATAATGATTTTATAGGTAATACAATGGGACTAAAATCACACCTTTCAATTATTACTCTGAATGTAAATGGGCTAACTGCCCCCAATCAAAACACACAGGGTATCATATTGGATAAAAAAGCAAGACCTATTGATATGCTGTTTGTAAGAGACTCATTTTAGGCCCAAAGACACCTCTAGATTTAAAGTGAGGATGTGGAAAACTATTTATCATGCTAATGGACATCAAAAGAAAGGTGGAGTGGCAATCCTTATATCAAACAAATAAGATTTTAAACCAAAGACTATAATAAGAGATGAAGAAGGACACTATATAATTAAAGAGTCTATCCAACAAGATTTAATAACTGTATATACTTATGGCCCTAACATGGGAGCAGCCAATTATATAAACCAATTAATAACAAAATTAAAGAAACACATTGATAATAATATAATAAAAAAAATGGGACCTTAACACCTCACTCACTGCAATGGACAGATTATCTAAGCAGAAGATCAACAAGGAAACAAGAACTTTGAGTGACACACTGGACCAGATGGACTTCACAGATGTATCCAGAGCATTCCGTCCTAAAGCAAGAGAATACACATTCTTCTTGAGTGCACTGGAACATTCTCCAGAATAGATCATGTTCTAGGTCACAGATCAGGTCTCGAGTGATAACAAAAGATTGGGATCATTCCCTGCATATTTTTAGACCACAATGCTTTGAAACTGGAACTCAATCACAAGAGAAAATTTGGAAAGAATCAAATACATGGAGGCTAAAGAGCATCCTACTAAAGAATGAATGGGTCAGCCAGGAAATTAAGGAATAATTTTTTAAAAAAATTCATGGAAACAAATGAAAATGAAAACACAACTGTTCAAAACTTGGCATGCAGCAAAGGCAGCCCTAAGAGGGAAGTATATAGCAATACAAGCTTTTCTCAAGAAACAAGAAAGGTCTCAAATACACAACCTAACCTTACACCTAAAGAAGCTGGAGAAGGAACAGCAAATAAAACCTAAACCCAGAAGAAGATAATTAATAAAGATTAAAGCAGAAATCAATGAAAGAGAAACCAAAAGAACAGTAGAACAAACAAAACTAGGAGCTGGTTCTTTGAAAGAATTAAGATCGATAAACCACTGGCCAGATTTATCAAAAAGAAAAGAGAAAGGACTCAACTAAATAAAATCATCAATGAAAGGGGAGAAATTACAATCAACACCAAAGAAATACAAACAATTATAAGAACATATTATGAGGAGGTATGTGCTAACAAATTAGGCAATCTGGAAGAAATAGATGCATTCCTAGGGATGTACAAACTACTAAAATGGAAACAGGAAGAAATAGAAAACCTGAACAGACCCATAACCAGCAAGGAAATTAGAGCAGTCATCAAAAATCTCCCAACAAATAAGAGTCCAGGGCCAGATGGCTTTCCAGGGGATTTCTACCAAACATTTAAAGAAGAATTAATACCTATTATGAAGCTGTTTCAAAAAATATAAATGGAAGGAAAACTTCCAAACTCTTTCCATGAGGCCAGCATTACCTTGATCCCAAAACGAGACAAAGACTCTACCAAAAAGGAGAATTACTATTATCCCTAATGAACATGGATGCAAAAATTCTCAGCAAGATACCATAGGATCCAACAGTACATTATACGGATTATTCATCATGACTAAGTGGGATTTATTCCTGGACTGCAAAGGTGATTCAATAATAGGTGATAATGAACTATTGGGACTTCATCAAGATAACAAGCTTTTGCATAACAAAGGGAACAGTCGACAAAACCAAAAGACAACAGACAGAATGGGAGAAGACATTTGCAAATGTATTATCAGATAAAGGGCTACTATCCAAAATCTAGAAAGAACTTATCAAACTCAACACTCAAAGAATAATCCAATCAAGAAATGGACAGAAGACATGAACAGATATTTCTCCAAAGAAGATAGACAAATGGCCAACAGACACACGAAAATATGCTCAACATCACTGGTATCAGGGAAATAAGATCAAAACCACAATGAGATACCAACTTACACCAGTCAGAATGGCTAAAATTACAAGTCAGGAAATGACAGATGTTGGTGAAGATGCAGAGAAAGGGAAATCCTCTTACACTATTGGTGGGAATGTAAGCCACCCTGGAAAATAGTATAGAGATTCCTCAAAAAGTTAAAAATAGAGCTGCCCTATAATCCAGCAACTTTTTTTTAGGGATTTACCCCAAAGATACAAATGTAGTGATCTGAGGAGGCATTTGTACCCCAATATTTAGAGTAACAACATCCACAATAGCCAAACTATGGAAAGAGCCCAGATATCCATCAAAAGATGAATGGATAAAGAAGACGTGGTAGATATATACAGTGGAATACTACTCAGCCATCAAAAAATAAAACCTTGCCATTTGCAACAACATGGATGGAACTAGAGAGTATTATACTAAGTGCAATAAATCAATCAGAGAAAGATAATTATCATATGATCTCAGTCATATGTGGAATTTAAGAAACAAAACAGAGGATCATAGGGGAAGGGAGGAAAAAAAAAAAAGATGTAATCAGAGAGGAAGACAAACCATAAGAGACTCTTAATCATAGGAAACAAATTGAGGGTTGCTGGGAAGGAGGGCTGGTGATCTAATGAGCACTTGGTATTATATAAGACTGATGAGTCACTGACCCCTATCTCTGAAACTAACAATACATTATATGTTAATGAATTGATTTTAAATTAAATTAAAAAAACCAAAATATGCATAAGCTGTTTGTTCCATCTTGTTTATATCCTTGCATAAGTACCATACAGTTCTCAAATCTCTTTTGAATCAAGGGGTTTGTCTGTGGCTAAAGAGAATTGATCACAGTGGCTCACCGTCTTTTGCTGGTCACTAGTTAATCTGTAATATTATTCTGTGCTAGAATTACTTCCTAAGCACACATATGAATAGTGTAAATCATTCATGGCATCTTTCTATTTTTTCCTTGAAAATGATAATTACATGATGTCTTTCTTTCCTGACTTTTCCATTCTATAAATATTTCTTCAGTAAGTTCACTGTGATCACTGTTTGAGATTCAGAAATCCTTCAGGAAGCCAGTAAAGCAGAAACCTAGCTGAATTCATCATTCATCCTAAATGCTGTCAAATTAAAAAATAAGATTTCTATTCCTTTTTGCTGATCTGGATATCTGCTATATGAGAGATACAAAGGAAGCAAATATAATAACTAACTTTTT